TGTTTTCAAAATAAGGTACTGAAGTGGACAGATGTAACAGAAATGAGCAAATGATTCTTTTTTAATTTTACAATAACACTAAACTTATCTTGTTCTTATGTTGTGTGATATGGAAGTAGTTAGCTTTGCAACTGTACATAGAAATATTTCACACTAAAATTAAATAGAATAATCTTAACAAAATAATCTTATCAGGATATATATTCACAGAAAACTATTAAAATAGGATATATAGAATGTTGAAGTGACATTGTGGTTAAAATTAGTCAATTGTTAAAACATAGATTCTTTAAGATCATTCTTTTTACTTCAATAATAAACAAATCATCTATCCCAGCCCCTCATAAAACAGTTGGATACAGACCAATTTCAGCCCCTCATAAAACAGTGGGATATGGATCCTAACTATATACATACAGATGGGGCTGGCACATTATTGGAAGTTAACAAGCTGTATATTGGGAGCTGTGTATTGTATATTGGGATGTGTGATATATTACAAACCAGTGGGGGTGCCAATATATGGTGATATACTTCAAAACAGTGGGAGGGACTTTCTGTTAGAGAATGCCTATTATTAAGTAAGCTGTAGATCAATTTAGTCTAAGGATCTATTGAACATCATTTTTTTATTGGCCAAATATATAGTCAATGAAAAAAACAACCCAAAAAACAAATATATTTCACCACCCTGAATAAAGTATTTGTCTCCATATTCCAGCACATTGTCATATCACTTGACCAATTTAATTATTATAAGAAATGGAAGAAGTTCATAAGAAAAATGATTTTAATATATGGTTATGACCTCAGTAATGAAAAAGTGATAATAATCAAAATTTGTTTGTAAACAAAGTCCTTAAAAAATATTTTGAATCTGTAAATTTTAATGAATGATCAGCAGTCCATTTATACTGAAACATTAACATAGAGAACTATCAATACTGAGAAATAATGAACTTAATATATAACACTGAATCATAATAACATCTTCATATAATAATGTTACTGACATTTCACATAAATAAACATAAAATTTCATCAATTGGTAGTAATTAATTACAACAATTTAAAAGCAGATCTGTAATTTTTTAAATGAAAATTTTATTTGTTGGTATTTAGTAATTAGAAATTCAAGCTTATGAAAACTTATAATTTACTTCAGTCTGTATAATATCTATTAAAAAGATAAATCTGATTATATCACTATATATTATTTTGTAAATATATATAGTAAGATACTGTCTGTATGATAATTTTCTTTAACACAATGGAAATACATTATCTGAAAATAAAGAATCTTCCTTTCATTATCAATGTTCTTATTTTATTCAGAACAGTTCATTCAAATGTCTATGCAACTTTTCATTTTGAAATACAAAAAGAAAGAAACTCCTTGATCAAGGAGCTTAATTCTATATATTTTTCCTGAAATTTGTTCTATTTGTTTACATTAATTGTACATTATGTACTATTTAAAGCATATAAAGCTATTATCATTATATTAAAACCAAAACCCCAGGAACTATGAGATTTGAACATCTAGTGTAACATTCCCCCCCCCCAAAAATGAAACCTAGCCTCTCTGCGGCATGTAATTTCTGGGTTTTCTAACAAAAAATAATTAGAAAGTCATAGAATTTTTGATGTTTTTTTTAGGAAATGTGTTTGCATATTTGATTTAAGAATGATTTGGTGTATGTATCTTGTTTTAAGATTGACAATTTGCAGAATATTCGTCCAAATAGTTATTCTTTCTGTAATATTTTGAAAAAAAAAAATGTCCAAAAAGCTATCCTTTCTTTCCATAAAAATCCGTTACAGACAATAAGGTACATAAAAACAACAAACATGGCCTTAATTAACTTTATTATTTGACATAGATGGTCCATTTACTGTGCAGAAGGGACAGTTTGTTCAGCCAATATACACATTTTCAACATACATGTATATGAAAAAATGTGATTCATAATGATATATGTCTGTATATATATTCTTTTTATATGTGCTTGCACATTTATATGTAAACTTGAATTTGTTTTGTCAGGATCTGTGTTCATGTATATAGATGTTTTGATATGTGTTTAAGACTGGCTTTATTATTGATATGTGCTTGTATATAAATATGTATACTTGCATTTTTGTCAGTGTATGTCTTTGTATATAGATGTTATGATGTGTGTTAGAGACCGGCTTCATAAGTGATATATGCTTAAACATAAATATGTGTAATTGCATTTATTTTGTAATAATATTATGTTTATTTATAGATGTTTTGGTATGTGTTTAAAATCATAAAGCATAATTCTATCACCAAAATTATATTTTTTCTTAAAATTATACATTTTTTGTCATAACACATACTACCATGTATTATGAGAATGACCTAACAGGTACTTTGTGCCTCCCTAGGTAATATTTTAAGGTCTTTTGTGCCTCCCTAGCAGTCCTTTGCACACCTGAGCAGTCCTTAGCGGTCCTGCAACTCATCGAAAGCATAAATTCTATCACAAAAAATTATATTTTTTCTTACAATAATACATTTTTGTCTATTAACTTACTACCATGTATTATAAGAATGTTCTAGGAGGGATTTTAAGGTCATTTGTGCCTCCCTAGCAGTTGTTAGTGCACCTGAGCAGTCCTTAGCGGTCCGGCAATTTATCGAAAGCATAAATTCTATCACCAAAATTATATTTTTTCTTAAAATTATACATTTTTTGTCACTAAACATAGTACCATGTATTATAGGAATGCCCTAACAGGTATTTTAAGGCACTTTGTGCCTCCCTAGGAAATATTTTAAGGTCTTTTGTGCCTCCCTAGTAGTCCTTTGCGCACCTGAGCAGTCCTTATTGGTCCTGCAACTCATTGAAAGCATAAATTCTATCACAAAAATTATATTTTTTCTTACAATAATACATTTTTGTCTATTAACTTACTACCATATATTATAAGAATGTTCTAGGAGGGATTTTAAGGTTCTTTGTGCCTTCCTAACAGTTGTTAGTGCACATGAGCAGTCCTTAGCGGTCCGGCAACTCATCGACAGCATAAATTCTATCACCAAAATTATATTTTTTCTTAAAATTATACATTTTTTGTCACTAAACATACTACCATGTATTATAAGAATGCCCTAACAGGTATTTTAAGGTCCTTTGTGCCTCCCTAGGAAATAATTTAAGGTCTTTTGTGCCTTCCTAGCAGTCCTTTGCGCACCTGAGTAGTCCTTAGCGGTCCTGCAACTCATCGAAAGCATAAATTCTATCACAAAAATCAGGGTTTTACGGGACGCAGAATTCTGCGTCCCTATACGCATAAATTTTGACATGTACGCATATAAGTTATCCACTTGCGTCCAAGTGTACGCACAAAAATAATTCTAGACAATGGATATTATTGTTTCTGACCCGACATGATTTTATCTCTTTCTTCTCGAAGCTCATAAAATTCCATTTAAACCTAATGCTTGCATTGTTTATTCGGAAGTTAACCTAATTGAAATCTACTGCGCATGCTATTTGCAAGTGCCCGCTGCAGAAATTGATGACGTTTATCGTGCAAGCTACAGTAACTGACGACGTTTACCATAAAATCTATTTTTGGTAGCTGTTTTTGGTTTTTCTATTGCTATATTTAGACGGACTATTTATAACAAGCAATTACTATTGGTTAGCGTATCCATTGTCGATCTACCAGTTCGGCGATTGTATTTTGTACATGAACAGCGATAATAAAAAATGCAGTGCTTTTTGCAAAGTGTTATATGAAAAAGTGTTAGAAATTAAGTCACTGGGTATGTTATTATAGTTGGTGTTATAAATATAATGGTTTCGGCGAACTTAATTTATGACTGGGACATCAAGTATGTCCCAGCTTATGAGGAGGTGCAAAAGCGGTTTTGTCAGCCTTTATTGTTTTATGATATTTTTAAAAACGCAACATATTTAGCTGACTGGTCTGTAAAGATATCTATTGTGTGTTTACTTGTTCAGCTAAAATATTTACAAATAGATCAGTACAAATTTTCAGTCTGTTGGTGTAATCACCTTGTCAATAACAAAATATGCTACTAAAACTTGACATTCCAGCCACTCAAAGACTTATAAGCCTTGGAAATAGCACATGATATTATTGTAAAGGGCTACTAAAATGCTATAAAAAACCTAGTGATAAAAGATATTGAAATCATATACTTCTTATGAAAACAGTACAATATAGTATATACATGCATATTTCTTACAGGGTAAATAAACGATTTTAAGCAAAATAGAGTGGTCTTCATAGTCTTTTATAGTGAATATAATTTTGGACCCCTAAAATTCAGGCCTGGACCCCTACTTTTCTAGGCTGTGCATCCACTGGACCCCTAAAATTTCAAAGAGATGTAAAACCCTGAAAAATTATATTTTTTCTTACAATAATACATTTTTGTCTATAAACTTACTACCATATATTATAAGAATGTTCTAGGAGGGATTTTAAGGTCCTTTGTGCCTCCCTAGCAGTTGTTAGTGCACCTGAGCAGTCCTTAGCGGTCCGGCAACTCTTCAAAAACATAAATTTTACCACTAAAATGATATTTTTTCTTAAAATAATACATTTTTTGTCACTAAACATACTACCTTGTATTATAAGAATGCCCTAGGAGGTATTTTAAGGTCCTTTGTGCCTCCCTAGCAGTCTTTTGTGTATCTGAGCAGTCCTTAGCGGTCTGGCAACTCATAAAATTTTCACCAAAATAATATTTTTTCTTAAAATTATAATTTTTTTTCACTAAACATACTACCATGTATTATAAGAATGCCCTAGGAGGTATTTTAAGGTCCTTTGTGCCTCCCTAGTAGTCCTTTGTGGCTCCTTAGCAGTCCTTAGCAGTCCTTAGCAGTGTTTAGTAGGACCCCGATTTTTTTACTATCCGAAATAGTAACAAAGCGTCCTTAGAATTAGACTTTCAAGGCATGGCACGACACAATGTTACAAATTTGCGCAATTACCTATCGGATGATTTATATAGGGTGTCTTTTCTGCATCCTTACGCCTTTGGTCTTTGTGTTTAATTGCGGCAAAGTTTGCGCAACGAATCAATTGACTTGCGACATCCATAAGTCTTGTTTAAAGCCTGTATCACGCCGTACCATTTACCACTAAGACAATATGCCCCGTACTGAATTTCCCGGTATATCTGGACTTAAAGTTACAGACCTTGTTGTATAAATAAACTCTATGTTGTATAAAGCTACCCCTTCTTCTATCTTCCCGTTCTCTATTCCACGTCGTTGAGAAGGGTAGTCAGACTATTTTCTCCCTTACCAGTTCCTTCCCTGATGTTTCCCCCCTGACTGTTCTCCCCCTCTTTTGGGAGTGAACTGTCTACATATGTGTATGATTATGTGCAATAGGTGCAGACAGTTCCTCCCCATTTCTTACTTTTTATGATGTAGTTAGATGTTTAATAAATTATTATTGCATATGTACATGTAATTAAAGTACACTCTTTATTTCAGTTTTTCAGCAATTACAACACATACAACATGAAATATATACAAACGATTAACTTTTATGATACATGATCATGACAAATGTGCATTTATATATAATTAAAGAAAAGACATAATTTAAGTTCAAGTTAAATTGTTTCATATGCATATTTAAGCGTATATATGATTATATTTCTATATGATTATATTAACATTAATAAGAGGTTATCTTACATCAATGAATTATAAATTTACTTCTTTTTTATTATCTCTTTCATAGCAATTTAAAAGTAAATCTGATTAACAAGAGTATTCTTGTTTTTATCTTTCTTATATGTAAATAGTCAGCTAATTGTTCGTTGAACGCCGCCTTTGCTTGTTGATCGTGTTTATCATATTTTATACAAATGTTATATGTGATAATAGTTACATTTATCTTTTATAAATCTTAGTTGGTCTCACATGTACATGTATTTTAAATGTTTATGAAATTTGTGTATGATATTTGTAAATTTGTGATGTGAGAGACTTAAATAAACAAAACCAATTAATGAATAGACCTTAATGATAAGTACAGGTGTAATCAATCACAAAATAAAAATCTTTTTTCTCTAACAAGGTCTCACCCCGGTACGGAATTAGACCCAATCCGTTGTATAGTCTAGAAAGTAGTTCTTTAAATTTTTGAAGTGGCCAAGTTTAAGTTCTCTCTAGTTTGTTTGGTCATAATTAAAGTGTATTTATTGCATGTGTGTATTTTTTGTGTGTTATAGGATGACTTTAAAAGTTTTTTTTGTGTATTCTCCAGGAACTCATTTGTTGGCGGAAGGATTAAAGCTGTACTACCCACCAGCAGTCCAGTGTTTTCAAAGTGGCGAATTTAAACAGTGGTACAATAGAATGAAGATTTCTGAAAAAAATTAGATGGCTAACATATTATATTTTGGGCCTCATTTAACTTAGATAGTGTTTATGTTTAAAGTTGAAGACAGTATATAATTCATCAAGAACAGTGGAATCGAGAATTAAGCCTCAAATGTGACTGATTTACTATAGAACAAAGAATACGAAAAATTCACTAGTCCGACACCACAAATGGCAATCAAGGTGTTGATAGGATTAAAATTATATAATTATAAAAAAAAATCAGATATACATGAAACATAACTCTCACAGTCATTTGAATAATCATCATTAATTAAGAAATATCATTAGATCTTGTAAAACTAAATTAATAACTAAAAAATATTGGAGAAGAACTGTCTGCATATTTTGAAATTTGGGAGAGAACTGTCAGGGGATGAAATGGTTTGAGGAAGAACCGTCAGGGTGGGGGTGGGTTGGACTGGTAAGGGAAAGAATAGTATGTCATTCGTTGAGAAGGCAGAGAGCATTGTCAGATGATTGAAGATCCACTGCAACGTGCAAGACGACAACTTTTGCGTGCTCTCTTTTGCTCGGGGTTACTTTTAATTAAGGCGGCAGGACTTAGTTTGTATGAAGTTAACTGCCGGAGTCCTGACAAAAGTTAAGGGAGTAGCCTAAAATATTGCAGGAACGACAAGAAAAGTGTGTTTAGATTGTGTGAACCCCTAGCACAGAGAGTGACGAACGGCTTGAAAGTCAGGCTCTTTTCTGACATAACAGCCGCATCGGTCAAATGTTTCACTATCGCTCACCTTTTTACTAAGTGAACTAACATGAGTGTATTCACTGAGCTGCGAAGGGAGCGTAAACACCCCTTTACAGTGCCACCTACTTTTCATATTGTCTAAGGTAACTGTACAGTTATGTTCTCATTGGTCGCCGTATATGGTCCTAGTTGTGAGTAAAAAATTCGAATTTATATTTGGCTAATATTTCATGGAAATTGCATGGAGGTAAATTGTCACCACCTTTTGCTTCAAAAGAGACGGGTAACATATGTTCGGTGTCCGTACTTGACAGTGAAAGCCGCTTTGTGTGTCTTAACGGTCGAACGGATCATCATTAAACTTAGAATACGCACAAGCACATACATTGAACCAAACAAGAACGTGTTTGTTAAACATCAATGCCCCGGCTCAGATTCTTGTCAGTAACAATATTTCAAAAAATGTTTACCCATTCACTCAGTTATGCACATAAAAAAATCCTCCAAAAATGTAAATACAGTTATATAACTTGACAAAGTACGTCATGTCTTTTTGTAATTGTGAAAAATATCAGTTGCCAAATCAATGCTTGTCTGGTGGTGAAGATGAAAATATTCCATTTTTAAGTTATCAAATATAATACATAAATGCAATACTTTACCTTGGGCCCATTGACCCCAATCTGCAGCCAAACTTAAAGAATGACGCATTTTCAAAGTTGAGCTAGAAATCATCACATTTTCAGGATATTTAAAATGGAAATATTACCTCTAGCATTTTAACATTTTGTTTCACAATAATTTGGGTTGTGTGACCTATATATAACTTTTACTAACTACCAAAGTGCTAAGCCTCGAATCTTCAGAAAAACAAGATTTTTTAAGTTTTTACTTTATGCGTATGTACAATATAAAAATCAATGACCCAGTGGCAAGGCCAATCTTGATCCAAGGGCTATAACTTGTGAACACACTTGAAAGAGATACACTGTATAATGTTTCATGCCAAAAATCCTAGGAAAATTTCAGCAAATTCGACCCAGTTATTTCCGAGAAGAAGTCATTTATTTTAAAAGTTGACGACGGACGCACGGACGCAATAACGGATGATGAACACCGGACAAATTACAGACACCAGCAAAGCAATATGTTCTCCCTTTCTAGTTGGGCCAGAAAAATGAAATTGCAATAGCCTCGGTTTGAGTTTGATTTAGCATGTACAAGAATGGTAGTGGTACGTGCAGCTAGGCTACCGCCCACATCTCCTAGCACCGGTTTAGGCTGAATTAAACGTTTTGGAAAATTGAAAAAATGCGGAAATTTGAAATTAGAAACACCTGCAGATGTGTTCATACGACATTTATCATTGAATATCCCATGTGACACGTTCGTGCCATTCAATTTACAATAGCGTATGGTCCAAAAATAATATGCTTGTTTGTGCCCAAAACGAGAAATTTATTGGCGGAACTACAAAAAATGTAATTTTGAAAGGGAATCTGAACCTGTAAATAAAGGAAAAGACTATAGCAGACAAAATGAAATGCAAACAACATATGCACAGTTTTTTCCCATTTTGATGATCTTATTCCCAATTCAAGGAACAAAAAATAAAATGAAGGAAAATATTGTCATTTTGTTAAACTGCATAGTCTTGCATTCCAAATTGTATTATGTGTTTATGAGTGAAATATAAAAGGAGTAATTAATTCCATTGTCTCTTTTATGTATGCAATATGTTGCCTTTAAGGATAAGGTCACACTTAAAGGTCAAATGGCAGACAATTTTGTATCTTGTGTAACTTGTATAGTTTACTTCAAATTTGGCTCCAGTGTTTGTTACCAGAACGTAAGTGTTGAAAATTAAGTCGGTGGTGGAGGAGTAGTGTTGCATCTATCTCTCGTGAACAGACCCTGCAATTTCATATAATATTGCTGTTTTACTGCTTTCGAAAAGATCACCCCTTTTCCAGATATAAATACTTCAAAACAGCAGGTGCCAAGGGCAGCTACAAAAGGGTGCACCTATGTGTCGAGTCACTGCTTCTGAGGGATCACCCCTGTTTCAAAATTTAATACTTTAAAAGGGCAGTGAACAGGACCTCGATATTCAGAGCCAACATCAAGGTCAGCGTTGAAGGTAAACATTCAAGCAAAGAATAATGTGTCGGTCATCTTGGAACTGCCGAGTTATTTAAGATTACAACTTAACACAACAACAAATGTAAACAAAAAAAATCAGGCAACTTAAACAACAACGAGAAGCGGTTCCTAGTGGTTAAGGTGTCTGCCTTTCAACCCGTTGAACATCGGTTCGAGCCACTATGTTTCACCATATAACACCAGCACTGGTTGATTTTTCAGGAAGCGGACTCGAGAGTGATTAATATAAGTTGCAAGAACTTGTTTCGCAATCGAGCTTACACAAAATTAATATGATTAAACCAACTTAAACGACATCTGAGTAATAGCTAATTCATAGCTTGGAGTGGAAGGTAACAAACAAAACAACAACAAAAGTCGTTTTTTTGTTTTTTAATATATTTTGAGAAACGCTACACAAGATGCTTCTTATCGCAGAAAATGTAACAGCAAAATGAAGTACATTTGTACTTTTATTTGTGATAAGAATCGTTATAATTACAATGCACTTTTACATATATATAACCATTTCCTATATTTCATTTAAAAAAAGATATTCGTTGAATCATATGAACCACCAAATTATAAATACGCATTTTAAACTCCTTGGTTTATGTTTCTATTTGAATGTCTTTTAAAAAATCAACAACACAAAATGAGCTTTGCAATCAGGTAAACACCAAGATAAAATTACGATAAAATGCTATTTATTTTGAAACAAGTATAGATGTTAATATACTGATTTTTTTTAATACTAAATCAAAGCGTACACAGTTTACTCTTTCGCATGTGTAAGGCGTACTTAGGCGAGATATTTGCTTAAAGCGATTTAACCCTCACCAAACTAAATATCTTACACATTCAATGATAATTTTAGGGAATTTTTCAACACATATACTTACATAATAGTCAGTGCAGACAAATAAACATGAATGTACCATGCTATCTTGGTTAACACTGGTCGCATGTGCAGATTCATTTTTAAGTTAGGGTTAATTATATAGGTGATATTTTTTGTTTGTTTTGCATGTGAGATCGAAATTTATTATAAACTTATAAATGAAATATTGAGAAATATGTTTGAAATAAAATGCATATTTTCATTCTCCGTATTTTTACTTAAGTTTTAATTATTTTATTTTTCACTGCAATGAAACGTATTTTCCGTATTTTACAATATACAAAATTAAAGTAGAAACCTTAAAAGTTGTAAGGTTATAAAAGGGAAAAGTATATAATGAACAAAACATTCATTTTTTTCTTTAAATACAGGATTTATTTTCATCTTGTGATATGAAAATTATTATATTCACTCGTGTCTACCGCCACTCACAAAATATTTATTTTCATACCACTCGATTTAAGTAAATTATGTATTTACAGAAAAAACTTGATTATCCTCTATATATTTCTCTTTTCACGAACGAAAGATAACTTGATACTAAACAAACCCATTTTCTATTTATTTTATGCTTTTAAAAACTGCATGCCATCAGATAAGCACAGATATTCCAAGAAAACCAAACATTAAGAAAATGTTCTTTGATTTTAAGAAAAGTAAACAGTTTCAAAATGCAAGTTAAAATTTATATGTTATGTCGAATTAATGACTGCTTTTTTTAAGATTTTAAGCACAATTTGTAATGCCGAAATTAATATCTTTGTTCAACACAATATTTTACATTTAAATACATTTTCAAAATTTTATTGAAAATTTGCATGAATGCTGCTTTAAAGTAATTTTTACTGATTTTTTGCCGCGTAACGACAAGCGCTTTCACTAATGTCATCAAATCATAACGTAACACAATTCTTGATGAAGGAAAAAAATAATCTGTGAACCTTTACGAATATAGTATACCATTAAAAAAACTGATATGTGCAAATATTCACGTGCTTTTCTTGATCAAGCACATTTAACTCACTACGGCGTGTATTTCTGACGACATTTCCATTCTTTTTTCTAGTCCGGCTATTTTCATAATTTTACCGTGAAATTATAAAATACAATTTCACTGTCCACTTAAAAAGCATATAATAAATAGGTTGTTGCCGGTTTTAAACTAAGCATTATAATCGTCTGAACATCATTTTCGTTGATTGTAAAGATTCAATGCCTTTGAAATCAGAGTACACAATAGCTTGGTAACCATGGTTTGATCCTGGTGTGTAATATTGCCCATTCAAGTTTACATATCCACAATTATAATACCACCAGCCACCATGATACTGTTTTGCGCAATTTTTCGAATCATCATGATCATATGTAGAAAACGGCTTTCCATTGTGAAAGCTTAGTCCAGTGCCTGTATCACCTAAAAAACAATAGCTATTGTGTCACATACTTAGATAGTGTTTTTTTTTCAAATTGTACAATTCCAAACACTGTTTTCAGCTTCGTACTTTGTTATAATGCTTGCACAAAATATTGCGTATTACAAGAACCTCTATATAAAGACATCTTTTATCATTAATTTAATAAAATAACAATACACCTACAAGAGGAATAAAACTAGTGAATTGCACTCTCTTTGAAAGATCTTGGAAACGATCATATAAAATTTACCAGAAGTCGTACTTTTCCGATACAAAGCTCGCCATTTGCATTCTGTTAATTTATTATGCCGCGTAAACAGTTATTATAGAAACGACGTTTTCATAATGAACAGGTGTAGGCCTAGAGTTCATCAACATAAAGCCACATTTAAATTTATTAAACCAACGAATTAACTGATAAAAAAGAGATTGACGTCTGTCTATATACGGAATAGAATTCATGAAAAACATTTTTACAACATATACCAAAGAGACAGCAATTTTTAATACATAGGTATGAGGACGTATTGCAAAGGAATGTCCTTATCATCTTCCAAACATTGTGTTAAATTTACAGTTTACGAGTAGAAAATTTATAGCGAGTAATAAATACAGCTAAAGTTAACAGGTTTTAATGAATGTGTTATCAATGTAAAATAGCATGTTTATCTACACGACAACCTTCTTTTCCTTGTGTTTTTGCCATATTGGACAATGTAACGTTTTAGATGCATTCATTTCTTAATATGCCTCGTATCTTTTTATCGATATATACGGTGATGCAAATATTCTCAAATTCTAATTTCATTCAATATGCCAATTCTTAAATAGTATGATAATAGAACAATAACATTATTTAAAAAAATGATCTCTTAGAGATAGCTTATTAATGATAATTATTGCAAATTATAAGTAGAGTTTTCTGATTTTCTTGTATTTGTTGAAGAAATAAAGGTTATTTGTCGGACACAACTTTAACGGGATACAGAAAGTCAGTGATGAGTGAACCTTTGCTATTGGAATATCTTCGTATTAAATAACACACTCCTTGAGAGAACTTATAAAAAAAAGCAAGCAAATAATGAAAGAAAACATTGCTAACACATAATGCATGAAACAAAAACATTTAACATATATTGCCAAAAATTGTTTGCATATTTTAGATTAAATTACAAAAGAAAAAGATAAATGTAAAAGGTGTTTTTCTTTTGTTACCTGCCTTTCCAGTTCCTTTGTCTATATGGAGTTCGTATCCGGGATGATCACCAATATGAAAGTTTTGAAATATTTCGTAAGCATATGTGTTGTCCGCTGCTGTCAATTCTATTCTAAGTTCTGTTGCTCCTTGTGCAGTCATTTCCTCTAAATACTTTAATCCTAGAAAGGAAACGAAACATCGAAAACAGCAACATGTTCTTGCTTTGTCATATTTGATATAAACTTATAAGGTAACATATCAAGTTAAAAAATTTGTTTTCAAATATGAACTGTAAAGATATTTATGCTTACAGGCGAACAAAGTTACATAATACGAGTATATTTTACCACAATAACAATGATAACAAAACATGTAAATCATTCATTTTGAATTTTTCATTTTCCTGAAAAAAAGGGAATATCTTTTCCTTGCTTAAATTGTTGTTTTTGAAGCTTTGTTTATCTTATAACTGGCTAATGGAATAAACATACTAGAACACATAACATATCATACCATCCAAACATAATCGGCGCATCAAAAATAAAAAATAAAAGTAAATTAAAAATTACCTAGCCAAAATTCTCCTGTATTATTCCCAAATCCGAGAATATATTCTTTGAAATTTTTGGTGAAATTGACCGAACCGTCAAATCGATTTTGAAAAACCTACAAAGATTCAATTTATATAATTAACATCTAAAATCTAATAGAAATTACATATTTTAAAAGATAGATTGACAACATGTCAGACACATCATCATTGTTACCAGCTGCATTTCAACAAATGTTAATGTTCATGTCTAGCATACATTAATCATATCCAGCATAAAGTGTTAGAGCTGTCCATTAATAGTTCGTGGATAACAAAAATAAAAAATAATAAAGTTGGTCAAAAGTTTAGAGATAAGCCAGATATCATGTATATGACAAATAATTATTACTCTCGATATCACTAGACACCTTGATTAGGCATAACATTGCCCTTCCCAACTTATTTGACCGGCAAATCTACCTTAAAGATGCAGATGTAACTGATTTTACTTTACCATTTGACCACTCGCAGAAAAAGTCAATGCTAATAAACACGAACAATTGCGATGTTAGTGTCAATTTAAGTGTTGCGTAATGTGTTGAAATGTAAACCAAGGGGGTCATACGATCCTAAAAATTCTAATGCTGCGAACGATTATCAACCGGTATCATGAACAAAAACGAGTCATGAAAAACAAGTAGAATAAATTTGAATCAAATTTCTTTTGCAAAGAAGATGTCCATACTTCTAGTTTTAATATACCAAATATTAATATTTAATATCCTAATAATAGAAGTGGTCATATTTTATCACGAAATTTCATTTCGATTCAATTAATCTTTCAGTCGAATTCGGGATGCCTCATTAGACTGTTTTCATCAATATTATTATTGGCAAACATATCTTTTTGGGCAGGATATATATTGATTGCTTTTAAAATGCAATTTTTAATTGCATGCAACGATCGCAACACAACATTATGAATTTTTGCATTATTTTTTCTACGAAAGAATCTTAAACGTTTGTTCCTCTTTTAGCCAGACTTTATTTTGCATTGAATTTTTGTTGTGCATAATAATTAAGGGTATTCTCCTGTAGTGGTTTCGTACTGATATTCACCTTTTGCTTTAACCTTCTTATCGGAGTTGTTGATGCCGTTGTTATTTATAAACTGACAAAAACAAACAAAAGCTATATGTTTAAACATCCAAAACCTTCGGTGGTATTTTGTTATTTCATATAATTTTCTTTATAATCGGTTAAATGTATCTTTTAAACTAATTGAATGAACAATCTGCAAATGCATAGAGTAGTAATAATGTCTGGTTCGAACTCTGATGACAGATCGTTTTCATACCATTAACCCCGCAAAATGTTTGATGAATGTTTTTACTTAAAGTTTGTCTTATATTTTCAGAAACATTGATAAGTAAACACAATGAAAGCGGCCCTCAGCTTTTCTGACGATTAAATATGTTATACGTAGATAAAAACGTTTATATTATACGTTATATTATCGTATCAAAGGAATTAAGATGGAAATGAAATCTGCCGACGATAAAATACAAAAGCAATAAAGATACACCTCGATGCGACTAATCTGCAAGTCTGCTCTCTATTTATAAATTAATAAAGCAGACGATACGTTTCCCGATCTTTTATCTTTAGACACGAACGTCAGTGACGCGTCGGGACGCCTTTTTGAGAAACGAAATGCATAACGTGTTTAAGAAAAATATTATTTAAATTTACAATTCTGCATAATTAAACTATTTTAATTAAAGTAGGGCAAATTAAGTCCACACCATAGGGTAATCTAAATTTGTGTTACATCAATTGTACCAATGGAGATTTTTTCAATTCGAACAGATTCACACACCAAATATATACAATGAACGGATGTTGTTGGGATCGAAACTAATGCCAAGGATATGACGATTCTTAATATAATACAGAATTTCGATGTCATACTGTGATCTTCTATTATCCATTTTTTTACAGTGTACAAGTAGACAAATCGTTGCAAAAACTAACATACATGTATATCTAGCCGATAACCCTCATTTCCTCGTGTTTTTCGCAATATTTAACAATATAACGTTCTATATGCATTCATATTGGAACATTCGTAAACAGTGCAACATTGGTATAACATAAAACATGAAATGTATAATTGTTATTGACAACGTTTGTTTACATTTGAACGCAACATTGCAAGTATTCTTCTTCTTGTAATATTGCCTGTTTCGTTGAATGGACAATTTTTCTGGAGATACCATAAGACTAGTCATTAACGCAAGTATTTTTATGATGTACAAGAAATCTGTGTAACCTGAAAATCGTCAGTCAAATATGTAGATTTGGTGGTCAAAATTGCGAGGAAGGATGGTGCAATGCGATGCCTTCTGTTTTGCCTTACCAGTGTAGTAACATAACAAAAAACACCAGGAAGGTGTTCAACTTGATTAATGTATCGCTACCTTGCTTTTTCACTTTAAGTTACATTTAGAAATAAATACAAAATGAAAGATACTTTGATGAATAAATATAACAAAGATAATGACGAATCATTTCAAAGAAACAATTTACAAGTTTTATGTCAAAAACTAACATATTTGCTAATGCGTCATCTTCATGCAATATAAAATCGAATGATACAATTTTACAACTCCATTTAAGTGAATGCCGGAATTGAATTTTATATTTTCTTTTATTAACGATGAAAGTTAGAATTTTTCCGTAATTGATGGAAAAAGTTTAGTTATGGAAACTAAATAGTCTGCTGCATACCGTCCATCCACCCAAGCCTGAGTCCATGTCACAGTATATTTCCTTCAGCTCTTTAGATCTCCATAAAGTGACGTTATACAAACCATTCTTACGTGCTATATTCCTCTGCATAATATCATAACAGTCCGTTGCATTTGCTGTTAAAACGTAAAATACACTAGTTCATAGCAATTTTGCTTAGAATTTAAAACAACACCTGATGTTTATATAAGCAGAAACATGTTGTATAAACGATATCCATGAAGATATTTCAAATAAACTGAGAACGGTTTTCTATAAAATATGATTTGTATGATTATACCGTTTCTCGAAATCGAAAAGTTTATTTCAATGGTTTGAAGTGGTAACAAATTAACAAGTTCTTCAAAGAAATGTGAATGTTGTTGTTCAAATGACACCAAACAATTATTTTTACCTCATACTAGTATCTATACGCGTTTCATGACGCAAAACCGGTACAGATATAAGATCGCATACACATCATATAGACTACAGCAAAAAAAGTAACTACGTAATTAAAGTACTGCATTGGTGAATGTGTGAACTAACTTACTGACGTCACAGTGTTTTCCATAAAATCCTTCACTGCAGTTACATGAATAATCAGAATGTCCAGAAATGCATATGCCATTTTTGCACGGATTTGATTTACAGTAATAGTCCGCTGAAAGCATAAAATGAGAGGCAAATGAAGAAGAAAAGATATTTAGACTTTGCAACATGGAGAGAGTAAGGCAAGTCTGCATATATGTGTGGTCCAACATGGCTTTTTACTATTAGCAGCGAAATCTTTATGCTTATCGTTTGTCCGTTCTTCCGTCCGGCCTTCCGAGCTAACATTTTAATGCAACTACATGAATAATAGTTAACTGTACTTTCTCTTTGATGCCGATTAGTCCGATTGCTATGCGTTATTTTCTTTAATTTGGCTTAAATGAACAAAAGAGAGAACAACGAAGAAGTTATAAAAGTACTGTCTCGTTAGTACGTCTGTCTGTCCGTCCTTATATTTACTCTTCTTTGCTTTTATGAATTATCTGCCTTATTTTCAAAATGTCTATCAATTCTAAAATGTCAATAATATAAATGCAGTGTCAAAGAATCTAATCACTAGTTTCTTTATGAAGCTTATTAATGCTTGTCTGGTAAAAAACTCGAACAGTATTGAAGGAATATGATTAAATGTCCACACTGTGATAGATGCCAGGAAAAGAAAGTGCAATATCGAAGAACCATAAATATACCTTGCTTAATACTTGCAGTGCAGTGTACATAAGTCATAATTCTATCTTTTTGAGTTATCTACCTTTATGATACTTATTTTTTTTTTTTAATGAATGCTTGACCGGAGTATATCTTCTTAACTGCCAATACTATCTTAATGAAACTTTACACCTTTATAGAAACTAATCAGAAGAAACGAATGAAAAGACCTCTATAAGCATTGTATGCTGTCGGATCTAATCCTTTTTTCAGCAATATATTATGTAACTATTGATTGTATGTAATATATGTTGGTGTGAAAATGTTTAAAATAAAACATGTTTAAACCAAACTAACTAAACGAATGTTAAAGAACGGTGAATCTACATCACTTAGTTAAATTATTTTCCTTTATGGTACATTATTGTGGTTGTCCGGAAAATAACTTGAAATACATTGAAAAAATTATATTAACAAGGCACACGGTAATAGAGACAAGAGAGAGGATGTGTGTTGTCAACGATCTGAAATGCTACCTTGCTTATTTTTTAATAATCTCCCTAAAATGTATACGTGTAGCATTTAATTTATTTTCTGATGTAACTTTTATAACTTTGGCCAAGGTTCAATTTTGCATAGAATGTATTTTAACAGTTTTGTTCATACAACTTTAATGTTTCATACTTAGTATGTAAATACTTTAAGTGGCCCTCTTACTTTTTTGTGAAGTAATGAGACAGGATGACACTAAAGTCATGTACCCTGTGTTCAAAATAGCGTTTATTCTTTGACACCTGTCATTTTTATTCATTAGGCAAATAACTTGGTCGGTCATGGGTAAAGTTACTAGATTGTTCAAAAAAGGATTTTAACGATTTTTCTAATGCAGCCTTAATTTATTGACTGATGTCTATTATAATTGGAAGGTTGTCCTCTAACTTTGGATGGAATAAGGGATAACTTTCTTCGGGTAAAGGTCACTGTTAAAAATGGTTTTTTACAATTTTGCTCTTACATACTATATTTACTAATTTGAATCGAATAGATTGACAGATGTGCAGATGCAGAGATCAAACATCGCCTCAACGATATTCTTGTTGTATTTGTTATTGAAATCCCTTAAACGATAAAATGTGCTATTACAAATTCAAAAGTAGGTATAGTCTTTTCATAATTTTGTACGGTGAACATCAAAATCATAGTGTTTCTGAAGATAGTATTAATTTGGATATGTTGAGCAGGGATAAAGAAATGAAGCAATGTAATGGTAACAATGGCAGACAGTACAGCTACTTATATGGATTCTGTATCATAATTTTATTGATAGTGAATGGCAGCAAAATGCAAACTTTCGAACAAGTTATTGATAGCATGGTCATGGTTTTATAACACATATAATTTATTAATATGTAAACTATAAGTAAATAATTTTTTTTATGAAAAAATATTGATCATAATGGCATTTACTTTATCAATGTATGATTACATTAACTTACATATATCGCATTGCTTTCCGCCAAAACCATCTTCACAAGCACAATAATATCCGGTTTTACCTTCATAACATTGACCATGTTTACATGGGTTTGACTTGCATGGTGAACTTGCTGAAGAATAAGTAAAGATTTTGACAAATTGAAGTATTTAAAGTTACTGTTGATAATGACCATCCACATTGCCGAATATGCCACATGCTATAGGCCGTCCAGATAGTGCAGCCTGTGTAGCAATTTCCCCTAGAACAAAATACGATAAAATCTGATCTGATCATTATCAATGATAGTTAAAAGTAGATAAAAAGTACACATTGCAAACTCTTGCGCATAGTATGTCAAATCAACATGAAAGTATACTTTTTCATTATGTTTGTTTTCTTCTCTTTCATTTTAAGTTTCACGCTACAGTTTTGCATTAAAATTCATTTATATAGACTTTCAAACATGAAATATATCAAATTTCGATGTAAGTGCCATTACAGTATAAATATCGTTAGTAAAAGATACATGTTGTATTAAAATTCTACCAATACTTACAAGTGTTGCAATGTCGTCCTTCAAAACCATGATAACAGTTACATGTGTAATCATTTAGCATGTCAACACAAGGGCCATTGATACATGGGTCAGGTTGGCAATGACTCGCAGCTACAATATAATAAACTTACTGAAGTCTCAATACGTTTTTCATGAATAAATATGAAATTCAATAAAAATAAATATTGTATTCAAATAAGCTCGGTTACAATTGTTTTACATGAGTTTAAAGATCATTCTGGCTTTATATCTATTTGTAACTCTACACAATTTTGTAACTATAACACATGTCTTTAACTAATTCCAATTATTACCTTTTAAGTGAATAACAACATAACAAAATCAAATTGCTGTGAATATATTTTTGTTCTCATAAGCGTTGGACTGAGTTTAATTCAAAGATTATACAATAAAAGCCAAAATAAACAAAATAAGTAGATAAATAAGTAAATAAATAGGGTTGTCAATTTTGATTTTAACTAATAAAGGATAAATATTTTCTGATTTAGCAATTGCAGCAAAAGCAAATAGTGTTAATGATTTAATTCGAAACCTCATTTTAATAACATTTTACGATCCTGCATTTTCTAACACAATAAAGCACATGTTTGCATTATATGAAATATTAAGGAAAATATGGAATAGAAAAAAATAATATATCAAATCATTAATTAGCACATACAACTATTGCAGTAACGACCCTCAAAGCCATGGTCACAAGAGCAAAGGAAATCGTGAAGAACTTCAAAACATTGACCGTGTACACAAGGATTGGTTGCGCAGTGTTTCGTTTCTGTAAGGGAAATAATCTGTGTATTCGGGCATGTAATATTAGAGCAGTTTAAAACATTATTCATCATTAATGTAAACAATACAATCTAATCAAAACATTATAGTATTTTATATCATATACACAAGAAAGGCAATCAAATGACGACGAGTTGAATTTGTTCTATATGTGAATCATCGTTTGGAGTTGTGATTACAATAAAATCTTTAATCAGATTAACTTGACTGTCCATTACTTCAAAGTAAGTACTATTTATCACAAACTTTATGTTTAGTTAAAGATAAAGATATTGCATATGTTTGACTTCAACGTGTATTATCCAGGTTATGAACACAAACACTTTATTTCTATAGTACAAACTATCTCATAAGTTTTGTCGTATGTTTTACCACAGTTATTATTTGCACATGATTCAACTCTGTCATGTGACCCAAGACAATATTGACCATAAGGTGAAGGAGGAGGATTCGAGCATGACCTCGTTTGAGACCGTATTCCTCCACCACAAGTTGCACTGCATGAACTCCATGATGTCCAGTCACTCCAACCACCGTCTGTAAAATATCTTATGATAAGCGTAATAAAAAAATTAAAGTATATATTAATTTATTTCGTTCTATTTGTTTCCTGGTCGGTTGCCATTGTGCACCTTTAAAGCATTTAAAGTTCTCTACTTCAAGATGCTGTAGCAAAACATTGTTTGTTTACTAATTTGCTTTGCAAACAACCAATAGGTAATTATTTATAGACGTTCAGATATTATATTTTTGTTAGAACTTTACTTTTAAACAATTAGATTAACTTTTGTTATGAAATACACACTTGCACAAGGAGCTGGCATACACAGTTGTGTTTCAGACCTGTCTCCGAAACAATGATTTCCAGCAAGACTTGGAGGCGGATTAGAGCAAGTCCTTGTACGACGTTGCAAGCCCATGCCACATGTTACTGAACATGTACCCCACTGTGACCATACACTCCATCCACCATGAACTGTAAATCAAGCAATATAAATAGTATAATTATAATCATTGGATAACTTTTATATTCAAGCAGAGAACAATTTTACTTGTATATCAAAAAGTACTTATTAATATGTTTTTTAATGTGGCAGTTTTCCGAATTATAGCTAAAACAGGTTATGATAAGTAAATAGTTAGACCTGGACACTGTTGTTTGTGGCATCCTTTCGTGTCACTTCCACTTCCAACACAATCGAGGCCGCCATGCTTTGGTGCTGGATTTGTGCATGTCCTGGTTCTAGTCTGGTGTCCGTTTTCACAGGTAACATCACATGTGCTCCAAGATGACCATAAAGACCAGTTGCCGTCAACTTTATATGGAAATTAGCAAAACGGAAACATTTCTACCGAGGTGCAGTATTACAATAAAGAATTTTAGTCACTTTATTAACCAATCAAATTAAAGCGCATGAAATATCAACTTGTATAATAACATAACTAAGCATGTTGATATTTGCCATTCAACCATTTAGTATTTCTTCATATTGATATTGCAGTAACCAGTCTTTGCTAAACTATATAACAATTAAAGATACACATTTTGTAAATTTCAAACCTCGAACTAGATAATTGTTAAATGTATAAATGAATTTTCTGATGTCCCTTTGTAGTCGAAAATTTGATAGAAAATTTGCAAATCAAAAACAGGCATAATTACACTCTCCATAAATTATAAGCTTATAAACTATATAAATATTCATGCTACTGTACACTCATATGTTTCCAATACATCATTAAAACAAAGTTCTTGAAGCTTGTCATTTCATCAAACCAGAAAGTAACAATATTTATCTATAAATTGAATAAAATCGATTCATACCGACATTACATAGTCCACAAAAGCTTGGGCATACACTTCGTGCGTGCGGAATATCACTACATATACTGAATATAGAGTTCATTCTTGCACAGTCCACAGATTCATCATCCATACACACCTTAGCTAAAACATTACATACAATTGTACCAGTAATTGTACCAATTTATTGTCAGTCGTCTTACAGTAGTTGACCGAAATAATGTTCAATCCTATGAAATGGTATTAATGGTTAATCATTATTAAAAATTTTGAAAACTTTGTTTAAAATAATTGATATATGTAAGATAATTTGAAGCATTTGTGCTAATAGAACTACTTTAATTAAGATAATGTTTAAAAAGATGGATTGTGTTTAGACAATCCTATATAAATATTAACTTTAATGTCGTTAAACTAATAGTGGTTACATGCATCATTTATTCTTTATATAGTTGCAAATTAACTTAAAGTTACTTTTTTCACAAGCCTCAAATCAATCTTGTAATGTTGTACTTTAGTCGACCATTGATACAAAGAGCAACTGATATTTATTAACGGTCATTTGAAATGCTGGTGTTCGTCGGGGGTATTCAAGTTTTAAATAGTTTTCTTAGTTTTAGAATAAATTCGTGTATAAACATGTGGTTATACTTACTGTCGGTATTGTGACATAGGGCGGTATTGCAATGATCAGTGGAACAGCATTCGAAACACGTTGATGCTTTCCTAAAAACAACACTTCGCCCAACTATTGTAGAAACTGCAGCATGTGAATCACATCTCTAAAAATGTTTCAAACAAATAAATTCATACATTCAAAACTTTCTTTTTAAAATTTTATTTCAACGGATATGTAAAATTAAATCATCATTTGCTCAGTTCAACATATTACAGGAAAATAGCATTACTTATACCAGTCAATGTTATGCTTCCAAACAAATATTAGACAAAGGACATTATTATATATTGCAATGGTTCGTATCTATCTATAATTGTATCTACTTTTGTATGCTTTACAACTATAAAATATATTCCACTTATATTCACCTTGAGCATGCTACATCCAGCAGAATTAAAATTCTCAAGACTATTCAATTGATGTGAAGCGTTCAGCCGTATGTGTGCAGTATTAAGTCTTTATAATAAACAATAACTATCAGATGATGTTTTTGTCCGTACTTAAGTCACATTTTCCAAAGGATTAATCAAATTATTAACATAAGAAGGATTTAGAAAGAATATAGATTTTGCTAAGAAACGAACTTCTACCAGAACGATTTAATGGGTGTAATGAATTTCATGTATAAAGATGACATTTACCTTATTGTCAACACAGCCGAGACTTTGTTCCCCGAGTGACACATTGCGGTAACAGGACTGTAAATGTAGCATTGTGTATATTTTACATGAAATAAGTTATCCAATTAACAGCAAAGCTCTTGATATACCGGACGATTCATTTACAACAACAGATGATTTAGCTTAGAATAGACATTCGAATTTCTATCAGTTTATTTGGTAAAAAAAAGAATGTGTTCTTACGCCATGTATTGTTTGCCTTTATGGAAACGCATCATTGAAACAACCGGTCCTTGCACGCATAACAGAGGATTAATGAAAAAGTTTAAAGAGGATTTAAGTTAAGAAAATATATTTCTTTCCTCTTTACCTGACCAATTGAACACGACCTTGTGACATTGCATCCATCTATATTGGCAACATTTGAGCAGCTGTAACATTGAAGTGATTCTGAAAAGGTGCATAAATTAGATAATTACATATTACGTTTAAGTAGCTTCCTGATGCTTTGTTTTTATTACGAGCTAGCAGCGTTCGAAAATTGATTCGGTCTCGTGTGATATCAATTTTCACACCATGCAAGTAGCAAAATATATCGCCATAGAAAGACACTACAACATGATTTTCCTTTTATAATGTAGTTATTTTTTGCAACGCCTTTAATGTATCTGTCCAAGTTTCCAAATACTACATAATGCACAACTTAGATTGGAAACCAACTTAGAAAAATAGACTGGTGCTAATATATATATATATATATATATATATATATATATATATATATATATATATATATATATATATATAGCGCTTTCAATGCTTTCTTCGCATATCTTCAGCCGAAACTTTAATAAACAATAAACATATAAACAAATGACGTAACGTCATGAAAAAAGCGGGAACGTTAAATAATAACGTATTTCCCGGCAACACAATATGGTTATTTATACTGAAAAATTAAAAGGTCCCCATCAAAACTGAAGAAAAACATAACAGCTAACAACAAGTACAACGTTATCCCATGTGTAACAACATTTAATCCCAAAATACCAATATTTCCCAAGCAATTCGATCTTGTGAGAATGTGTTACGAAAAAGTGAAAGGATGAACAGTGTTTTAGAAAAGAAGCGAATTATAAACAGTAAAAGACAAGCAAAAAATCTTCAAAACATCTTAACCTCTTCAAAGTTCGACATGACAAATAATACTGTAACAACAGTTTCTAAATGCAACAGGAGTAGGTGTAAGACATGTCCTTCTCTAATAGAAGGAAATGAAATACAATTTTGTAACAGTAAGACATTTAAGATAAAACAAAGTATGAACTGTGTTTCAAAAAATGTGATATATTCAATAATTTGTGACAACTGTAAACAGTTTTATATTGGCCAAACAAAAAATGAATTATGTAAACGTATGACTTTACATAGGCAACAAACAAACACTGAAGAACTCAGAATGTTACAAGTAAATAAACATTTACATAATTGTTCAGGGAGGTAAATTTAGCATTTTCCCCTCTATATAAGAATATTAATCGAAAGTGACAATTTTAGAGAAGAAAAAGAAAAACTTTTAATCAAGTTATTAAAACCACAGCTAAATGCTCATTGTAATAATCGTTTAACAAGGTATATATATATAGTACATCATATTTATTACAATCTCTTCATTTTTTAATTATGAAAGAAACGCTTGCGATTTTATTCAATCCAATTGTCCGTTTATTTACCAATATTATTGAGTAAAAATTGTTAATTACCATACAATTTGTGTGCCATAAAATCATTAACTTGTGAATTTTATTACCTCCTTTAATAAATGTCATTAATTCACTGCCAGATTGTACGGATTATGCTCAATGTCCGTAATATTATAATTTTTCAGTATAAATAACCATAATTGTGTTTGCCGGGAAATACGTTATCATTTAACGTTCCCGCTTTTTTTCATGACGTTACGTCATTTGTTTATATGTTTATTGTTTATTAAAGTTTCGGCTGAAGATATGCGAAGAAAGCACTGAAAGCGCTACCGAATATACATAGTTTGTTATTTCTTAAACATTATTATTTTACCTATTTCAACACTGCACAAGGAACATATATCACGTTTTAATATATATATATATATATATATGGAACCGTATTCGCCACTGACATAAAACGAATTTGCTATTCGCTGAAGCGCATTCGGGCTTGCTTCAAAATTTGCGTGAATTTAAGGAATACAATGTATAGGTATATAATAAAACTTAACTCAAAGATTAGTAAGTAAAGGTTAAGTATTTTATTACATCATAAAGTCTTATTTTATACGAAGTGATAAACAATAGAAGAAGAAAGACAGAATTAAAGTTATTAGTATGTTTGTTGGAAATAAAAGTTTAAACAAGCGCAATAACAGTAACAAACCTGACGAAGCGACAAGGCCTATCAAAATCAATATATATAATGCGTCATCTGAAATAATACGCACTACATATTATCAACTATAATCGTTAAAACCGTTCCTTAAGTTAAAAAATACATCAAAGCATCATAAACACTTTTTACAGTATACGCAGATGTGTCTAAATTTATCCAGGTATTCAGGGTTGTAGTAGGATGACCTGATTAATTCTAAGCATCAGATTAGTGGATACAATAAAAATTTCACAACAACATGTTTTAACAAAAAAAGCACATGTCAATGTTTGAAGTTAAAGTTATTGATTTAAAATCGGTTTGCTTAGCAATTCAGCTTTCACATACGTTTAACGGTATTATTCATCACGCATACGTTTGTCCATAATGGGGTTTTATATATTTCAACTATTATAGCTAACTTTTGTATTATGCATATATATCCGAACGCATGACATGTTTTGGTTTATACAGAATTTATTTTAGTTCGATTGTGTAGGAAGCTATTAGCTTATGAACACACTTTCGAATCCGCTCCTGGAACCAGACTGAGCAATGAGTGTAACGTTTCTTGCTCAAGGAAACAACGACTTGCCCCTGTCAGTGTTTGAACCCATGCGGCTAGCGATCATTAGATTACTAGTCCGACGCGTTAACCACTCGGCCATGCCGCCAACTTGAAAATTTAGTGATACGCGTAAATATATGTTAAATATAAAATACGACGTGTTGTTGATGTTGAACTTTCTATGTAAGAAAAATTGATAAATGCTTTATTAACAAAGTTAATGTCGAATGCTGCTTTTTCTCTCATGAGTAGTCTTTATCAAGACTAAGACTATTCATTATAATATTTACGTTTTATGAAAATATACCTTTTTTTAACAACAAGAAGACAGGTAACAAAATAGAGGACATATTGTAATCATTTAATATTTTATTTAGAATATGTTTATATTCATTTACTTCTATGATTCATTCAGAATATGATTATGTTCAATTACTTCTATTATTTATTCAGAATATAATTTATATTCAATTTCTTCTATACTATATGTAAGTAACTTACTCATTTTTTTCTTTTTCATCTTGCACTTCCTTTCAGAGGCAACAAGTTTAAGTCTTTAGCCGCAGATAACAAAGGCTGTAAATGACGTAGGTTATGACCTTTTCAGCTCTTATCATATAATATATGAAAGATAAGCTATGGCATCGAGTACATTATATATATAGTAAGGTCGATAATAAGTAGTTTTCTTAAAATTTGCTTAACGTTCACGAGTTTCAGGCTTAGTATATGGTCAGTATTTACAGATAAAAGTGATCATAAAGGACATTTAGAACTATTGCACAATATTGAAAAAGGTCTTTTATTTTAACCATGATTTCTATTTACTTATTTCGTAAACATATGTATATAAATTTCTCGTATTCACTATTGTTCAAAAAGATAAGACATGACGTTCCACTACGCCATATACAAGGACGATCGTCAATGATAAAAATGTCAACCTATTAATGTGCTGTTTTTTATGATAATGATAGAACTAAAATAAATTGTATGAAACGCTATTGCTGCCATATAACGTTTTGTACATATTTCATTACGTTATGTGTATCAATCATATTGTTGAATGCTCACTATTTTTGAGAAATATGTCATGTTAATTCCCTGCATCAAATTGTATAAAGTGTTCTTTTTTTCCAAATATAGTCTTTTTATACAATTATATTTGGTATTTATTATTTATCGTTAATTATTTTTTTGTTCCTTTTTATTACATCTTTTCACATCTTTATTGTTTAATTTTTAACTATGTAACAATCATATATTTAAAAATGAAATTTGTTATTGAAAATTAAAACAACTCTTACTGTAACAGTAAATCTATTTTAATTCAATGTTTATGTTGGTGTACCCCTCCGTGTCAAATCTTCATACACTGATGGCTTGTCGTCCTCTATTTATTTGAGGTCCTCCTTGGCTCCTTGCCCCTGGTTCTTGTTGCCGGGTCGTGTCGGGTTTGCGTTCATTGAACGCCGCCTTTCTTTATTGATCTTGATTTTTTTTTTGCTTATGTAAAGAAAATAGAGAAAAACAAATCTCAAACTAAACGTACAAATTTGAAAATGTTGCATTCTCTGTTTAATTGAGCCTATTCATTTCCTGAAGTGATAATTGCATATTACCACATCCTCCCTAGCAACGAATGAAGCAGAATTAAATTTTTACACATGACAATTTTGAAAAATTTAATGTAGAAACGTTAACATATGCATGATTATGTGTATACCTGTAGTATTTTCATAAATTATAGATAATCAACATGAGAATGTCATCAAAGAGACCGACTTAATTAATTTTACAAAGAAGAGTGACTCATTTTTTTCACTTTAAAGAGCAAGTAGCTACAATTGTCATGATTATTTTCGTGTAAGTAATATGTTAACGTGCAGCGTAGAACATTGATCGACGCATAATCAGTGTCAGCTGAAAGACATGCAGATTATAAAAGGTGAGCCTACAAAACAAATTTTCTCCTTGATGTGTGTCTTTCCACTGCATTTTTGCATATTTCTCGGTCTGACCAAAGTAGAAAATATCAAATCGATACACTAAGTAAAAAATACACAAGACTTGAATTTTCACACCGCCCTCATGTACCACCACAAACTTCACATGACCATAGAAAACGACACTGACATAAAATGGAGGCGACTTATACTAAGAAAGTTTAATTAATTTAAGGTCTTTTCTGAGCGAAAAAACAAGCATTTCGTTAATTTTGAAAAGTTTTAAGTTTTATCCAAATATATTATCTATTATAGCCCCGAAATGAAGTTTATTTTGTTATTCTTGGGATAAGGGTGGGGGAGGGGGTATTGGAGTCACAAGAGGGTCGGTTGGTCCAGGGGTCCGGTGAATTCCTTGTCCGGAGCAGAACTTAAAAACTAATGGTTGGAATTCAATACATCTTCATAGAATGGTCAAGTCAAGCACATTGAGAAATAAAGTGCAGTACACAAGAACCATAACTCCATCTTAACTCATTACAGAGTTATTGCCCTTTGTAACGTTTCCTTGACCGGAGCATAACTTAAAAAACTACTGGATGAAATTCAAAACAACTTCAAACACCAAAACTCATACATAAACTGAATTCAATGTCAGACAACGATTTTGATATTTTACAGATTGCAAGCATCCTTCTTTCACTTTACATAGATCTATATCATATCACGTACATGGCCGATAATATAATTATGAAATTTTTATTTCAATTAAGCAAGTTATCACCAAAATGTTATCATATACAACTGTATATACAGAAAGAATAAATCAACGGTCCAGCAAAAGACCATGCCACGCGGAAATCTCCCCTGGCATTTCCCTAAAGCTTACGTCTTTGGGCCTTATATTGATGTACAGACGACCCTACAACTTAATAGAAAAACGAATCAGCAACGGAATAAGACATATGGTATTTTAACATTTGTCTCTAGAAATGATGATTTTCACACTGAATTTATAGAAATAAAAAATCACTGGTCTAAAACAACAGCAACAACAACAACAACAACATCAAATGCCACGCGTAAATTTACGGACATTTTGCTTGGGATAGTGTTTTTGGCCATAGATCGCTCTAATACAACCTGTCCTAATTAATGGAAACACATATCTGCAACGGAAGAATACGAATAGTATTTTAACGGTCGGCCGGAGAAAATTGTATACACTTTATATACAGAAAAAAAACAAATTGTTGATCAAATAAAATGTCCATGTCTCGCAAAAATATCCAGGGCATTTTGCCTGGGTAAGGGTTTTGAGCCCTTTTCATTCTATAAAGAAGACCCTGTGTACTAATGGAGAAAAGAATACCTTTCACTATATACGAAAAAAAATATATTGTGTAGTTTCCTTCACAGCACTGCTTTGATCTAATAACTTTTTCCATACTTATGAATTGGATACAGGAGCAGTTTTAAAAGCTTCTGTATGTTGACACTGGTTTTGCTATTTATTCCAAATTGGTGGATTTGAGTCCAATTTTGAGTTGACCATGATCGTAATTACTCAAATGAAACTAGTCTACGTGACTTTCAGAACAAACTGAAGTGCGGTTCAAATGATGATATACATTTAAAAGTGCTTAAAACTTTATTAACTTGAAATATAGTTTAGAGAGATTTATTTTTTTTCCTACTTTGTCTTTTCATGGAACAAAAATAATCCGGATTTATTGTTTTTCATATCAGTATTTCAACCGTCATACCATGAATGGTAAATTCATGTACTAAGGCAATGTTATTGTTTTATTTACTTTTCTTCCTCTTCATTTATTGTCTTATTACTTAAGAAAGGGTAGCTGAGTTTGCGAAAATTCCGGATTTGCAAACTTTTTCCGGAAACTGTTTGTAACTACGACAATTTTATTGTTTTATTTACTTTTCTTCCTGGTTATTGGTCATACGTATGATTTGCAAAATCAAAGAATACACGATCATATATTTTTTCTTAGTAATTGCTCTTGAGAAAAAGGCCGAATAACTGACCGCTAGTCGAGACCGTTAAACAATGAATGTTTTGCAGCTGTGTGCTAGGGCAATAGAATCTGTTTTGTAATAAATAATGTAAAATGTTTAAAAGAACATGGAATACAGTCTGGATTTATAATAGATATTTTCGACTAGAAAAAAATTAATGAGAATATTTTAAGTACAATATGTATTCAATATTGAGTTTTGTACTCAGGTAACACATTTGATTGATAAAATGTTATTAAAAAGTAATTTCTTTTAGAGCATTACGCAGTGAAAACGCTGAAAGTTTATTGATTTCTGACTAATATTATCAACAGAAACTCATTCTATTGATAATTCTTCAATTTATAAAGTAAACAATGAAATGATGCAAACAAATACAAATGTTTATAGAAAGTTATTGTTTTCCTGATAATTCTCTTGCTCCTCTTTCTCACAATGAAGATGAATATTGCACGGAAGAACTTTAAAATAAATTATGTTTGTATGAGAGAGTCGTTTAAGACAGGTAAATAACAACTTTTTCTAAGTGACGTTGTCAGTTATAAGCTGTAAGTGTATATTATTATTTACTACGATATATACTAGAAGCGTATTAAGAAAATCAATATGTTTGATCAGAATCAGATTGAATTAAAATAAAGTTATGTGTCGCCTTATACTATCAATTCGTGTCTTTTTTTATTGTTCGACATATAACTTCCGTATCGGATGAACATGAATAAAATATCAAAGAATGCAAAACAGTGCATTTTTAGACAAAACATTTTAAATACAAAATAATGAAAAATTTAAATGAATTTAAAATAAATCTCAACATTTTGCGTTTTAAATAAATTAAAAAAAAATAAAAATGGAAAGGATTGGACAACAAAAACTTAATCATTTCTCTGATGAACTACAAACAACTTAAAGACAGAAAAAAGACCTTTTCTGATATGTGTCATGTATTCGAGGCTGAAAATGACTCTTTGTCAAGAATCAGTTGAGTAAACAAAAACAATAGGATATTTAGTGACATACTGTTTGTCTCAGGTTTTATCATATTTCCTTTTATTTTCAGATGTTATCCTCGACATTAACAGTTTTGTTTTTAGTAATCGTGTGCTGTGGTAGGTAATTGATTCATCATGTATTGTAAAATTAAAAAAAAAAGCAAATACAAGTAAATATTTCACAGATAATCTAGATTTTAACAGATATTGTAAAAATCGTCGCTTGAAAACTGTAAAGTTCTACTATCTCCAAATTTTCCAAAAGCAAGTTATATACACAATTTTGTCCGTAATGGACTGTTTTATCTCATCGGCATTTTATATAAGTGCTTCAGAGCTTCATAAATGAATTACAACAAAACCATCCTGTTCTAACTCCACAAATTCAGTATAGAATGTTCTAACTTATTGGACCAATCATATCATCGATAAATGTCACGTGACCTGTGGGGCATATGTAACAAACTGTTCTAAATCCAAAGTACCGTATCAAAACATTGCATTTAATCACGTGATGGCAGGACACCCGCTATGTTGTATTCAAAATACTAAATGACTGTAACTGTACTTACGCAAATAAGAAATAAAAGCATAAGATTGTTTAGGTTACTGGCCAATGTGGAACTTTTTT